TCTCCTATTGAATATATTGTTCTTCTGTACTGTGGTCTGCCATTTTTCAAAATAAGGTTCTGTTACATAAGTGTGTAGCTGAATAAAAAAAAAATGTGTATGCTTATGTTTTCTGATACATGTAAGTTTTCTCATACATACCTGTCTAGGTTAACCACTTCTGTCTGGTGATATAGTCTAGTTGTAATTAGCCATTAAAGTGAGTTGATGTTTGGAAAAGTGAAGTTATATGCACCCTAAAAACCTAGAGCACTTATTTTCAAGTCCAAAAACCTTAAATTCAGTACTATGTGCTCTTGTTGATAAAATTGCCAAAAAATGAAATTTATTGGTTCCACATAGCTAAAATCAATTAAGACTGAAGGAATTCCTTGACACACTTATGAAAGTGAGTAGCTACTATTTGTTGGCTCTGCTTACTTTTCTGAAGCTATTGTGTTAGCTTTCCAGTGCTGGGACAAAACACTTTACATACATAGTTTAAAGGTGGTAGTTTGTTTGGCTCACAGTTCCCAAGGTTTCCGTTCATGAGTGACCGACTCCATTGCTTCAGTCCTTTGCTGAGGCAGAAACATGGCAGGGTGAGGTGAAGGAAAGCTGCTCACAAGGAGCAGTCAGGAGCCAGAGTGAGGAGGGAAGAGCTAGGAAAGAAGGGGCCAAGGACCAGAAAGTCCCCAGGTCACGCCACTACAGTCACTCCCTGCCACTAGGCCCACATCCTTTTCTCTATCACTTGCCAGAACAACATCAAACTATGATCCCATCAGTGGATTTATCTAGAAGGCAAAGTCCTCCTGATCCAGTCACTTCTCTAGGCTCTGCCTTTGCACGTCACCGCACTGGACTTGAGCTCTCAATGCATGAGTCTTTGGGAGGTACTGATAAGTGAAAGCCGTAACAGCTATCCATTGGTCCCTTACAGTCACAGTAATTTTGAAGAATGTTTAGTGTTTAGGCCTTGCTTGGTGACTGTGATATTGTTAGTCCATTTTCTGTTGCTAACGGCATAGTACCACAGTCTGGGTAAGTTACAAAGATAGGTGCATTTGGCTCACAGTGCTGGTCCAGTATTTGAAGGACCCCGTCTGTGATAGCCTTGTTGCTGTAGAGTCCCAAAGCAGCACAGGATGTCATAAGGGGAAGGATGGAATAATGTTTCCATGTGTCTATATTCTGCTTTCTCTCTTCATGTAAAGCCACCAAAATTCAACTAAAAGGCATTCTACCTCAACATTCTGATTGCTTCCCAAAGGCCCCACCCCTGCGCCCTATAATTATGTTACGTTTGCACCTGTACAGTAGGGATTAAACTCCAACATGAGTTTCCCAGGGGACTGGCCACGTTCGTACCATCGTAGATCCCAGGCAGATGTTGGTCCCAGATGTCCTGTGAGTGCTAGGCTCTCAACTCCCATCATCTTCCTCAATAGCTTTGGTATGTGTAGTCTTCCCTTGTCTCAGGGGCAGCTGTTGAGGTTTTAAGTACAACTCTGCTCTTTCGTATCTGCTTGATTCATTGCTTCCCCCAGGATCCTCACCCAGAGCCACTCAGGTTGAATAAAGCCCATCTTTATGGGCTCATTGTATTCAATGTGTGTTTTGTGTTTTTTTGAGTTTAAGGAAATAAATTTTACTGTTTGAATACAAATGATTTATTTCTATTAATATTTTAGAGACTATCTCAAGTATGTGTGAATATATTTATTTATAAATTGATATCCTTGATAATGAGGCTCACTGAAGTCCTGAACGGTCTTTTTTAGGAATCGATCCGATGGTTAGAAGATGAAAAGGCTCTGCTGGAGATGACTGAGGAAGTAGACTACGATGTAGACTCATACGCGACACAACTTGAAGCTATTCTTGAGCAAAAAATAGACATTTTAACTGAACTGCGGGGTAATTCTTTTTTAATCTTTGTTGGGTATGAAATCTGCTTGGTGTTGGGGTGTATACAATGAAAGGCTTTCATTTCTGCAATGAAGTTACAGGCTGTGTTTACCACCTTCTTTCCAGAGGAACGAAGGCAGACCATTGTGGTTTTGTTTTTTGTTTAACATAAAAGAGTATTATTTCAAGTTCTCTCTAGCTTTCTTTTTCTTTTGAGAAGATGAAGATACCTTAAGGTTAAGGGGGCAGGGGCAAAACAAAAATCCAGAGAAAGAAGGAAAAGTGTATGTAAACACACTTGCTAGTTTTATGTGGAATGAGTAGAAATACCTGTTTTACAGTTTAGACAATTTTCCTTTTAGACATTACTGTATATTTTAGAGTCTGCCTCTACTCCCAAAAGGATTCAAGTTAATTGCAACTGAATGCTGTAAAATGTCCCAACAGAAGGAAAATTGATAGATATAGAAAATAGGTATTTGTTGGTATGGTGGAACATGTTTGTAATCCCAGCTGTTCTAAAAGTTCAGACGGGAGGATTGCACAACCCACACTACCCTTGACCAACTTAGGGAGACCCTGTCAAAATAAATTTTAAACTACACTTGGGGGATTCAGTTTAGCAGTGGTGTGCTTGCCTGGCATGTGCAGAGAGAACCAGGCAGGAGGGAGGAGGGGATCTGTAATGGACCTATTGCCGTAGTTGAGCACTGTATTTGAGTGAGGCTGTAGCCCGTGGTGGTGACAGCACACATGCTGCAGAGGGTCGTTTGTATCATCGAAGACTCTGAAAGGTTTGCCATCACTGCTCTAGACCATGTGAAATGAAGGGGAAAATACAAAATTACTGTGAAACAGAGCCAACTTAATAGGACCTAGAAAGTTGCATGCTGTGTAGCATATAATACAATATTTACACTCCTGTTCTTTTGTTTTTCCAAGATAAAGTGAAATCTTTCCGTGCAGCTCTACAAGAAGAAGAACAAGCTAGCAAGCAGATTAATCCGAAAAGACCCCGTGCCCTTTAAATTGGTGTTTGCTGCTGAAGGATCCCCCGAACCCTCAGTGCGGAAAGTGTTTCAGCTGTCAGGGCTGTTAGAAAAAGTTTGAAATTCTAAGTGTCTGTGGAAAATGTCTTGTCCTTCACCTAAATGACATTTCAATTTTGTGAAAGACTCCTTTGTCTACTTCTAGTCCAGGGGGTAAAACCAGGATTTGGGATTAGTGAAGCATTTTGCTTCACTATTCTTCAAATGGTGATTTACTTTTGGAGATCCTTGGCAGTTTTATTTTCTATATGAAGTTAAGATTGTGGACCTGACCCGGAGGTTGATAGTAGGGAGAAGCCACAGCATTTCCTTGTAACTCAGTTCAATTTCGTAGCAAGACTGAGCAGTTTTAAATCCTGAGTGCATGCATACCTCATCAGTGACTGTACATACCTTGCCTACTCCTAAAGACAGCTGTGCTCACCTCTTCTTGCTCTGTGCCTTGACCAAGGCGACTGACCCTAAATTTCTGAAGCACAGCCAAGATAAATTACATTCCTTATTTGTCTGTAAATTACCTTTATTGTGTGTACATTTTTACTGTATTTGAGACATTTTTTGTGTGACTAGTTAATTTTGCAGGATGTGCCATATCATTGAACGGAACTAAGTCTGTGACAGTGGACATAGCTGCTGGACCATTCCATCTTATATGTAAAGAAATCGGGAATTATGATTTTAAAACCATATAACGTGATTATAATTTTCTTAGCATTTTCTTTGTAAAAAACTAAAATATAAACTAGTTGGTGTATAATAAAAAGTAATGAAATTCTGAGAAGAGTTTTATCTTAGGATAATGCATATATATGCAGTGTGTGTGCCAGTGTGGTATTAACAAGACTATTTGGTCCTTACAGATACCATTACTTAAGGTGACCTGTTCATTAGCATCCCAGAATACACCTTTTTGATGTACTGTTAAAGGAAATTGGCTTCTGATGCATGAACATTTACATGTACATTGAAAGTAGTCCATAATAGAGGTTAGTTTAAGCCCAGTGTAGACAGTATGTAATTCCCTGGAAAAAGAATTAAGCTGAGAGTTTGCCTTGCCTTAATAGGCAGATCCAACCCAAGCTCCATTCAGTACCTAATACGTGATGTGTCAGCATGACTTGGTGAGAACCACTGGATTTTCACCAGTAGACGGGTGGGAAGGTATGCTATTCTTTAAATGGCAGTACTTATTTTTTACAGTTTGCTACTCCAAGGAAGAAAAACTGGCCATTTTGCATGTAAATACTTTGAAGAGATTTATATCTCTCTAGGAGTTTTCCCTGAGTTCCCAAGACAGTCCAGGAGTAGATTAACAAAAGATCTTCTATGATACTTAGTTTGGATTTACTCCAGGGAATGTCTAGCTCGTTCATGAGCCAAAGGGAAGCAATGATAGAGAGCCATATGAGCCAGATTGTTGAATTCACTGTTCATAAAACATAGAGGGTAGCTGTGGGATATCTTATTACCATGGTGAAAAGCTCTGTAAACATAAAATCTAAAACAAATGTAGATTTTTCACAGGATGCTTATTAATAAATGAAGTCTATGGAATGAATTTAGAGATAATTTCCTTCAATACAATCGCCTTTGTTTGGAAGGGACTCAGGTTTTCTTGCAGTTGTAAGATATACTTTTATCTGTGTTTATTTCAAAGACAACAGGAGGAATAGAGAACTGTTACTATTGACCTTGCAGAGGCTCTTTAAGAATTTCCAGACCACCAATCTGAAGGGCAGTAGAATCTGTGAACTTGCTTATTTGAAGCACAGCAGAGTAGCATTATGGTTACTTACACCAGGGTACTATCTCTGGCAGGTCTCTTTACAGCCAGTAGGCTGCCTTATACTGTGCTGGCTTCATCCTGATCCACAGTCAGAGTATTTTAGAAATTGATACCAGACGAGATCTCCAGAGGCAGTATATCAGTCTTCAAGCTTTTCAGATCAGGAAACTGAAGATTAGAAGGACTAACACTCCATGCAGTAAACTTTGTGGGGTGAAAGGAAACCACCCAGGAAAGCCGAGTTGAACCACTATTTTTTTTCTATAATGGTAAGAGTTGATGATACAAGTGAACTTTGCAAAGTTAAGTCATTTTGAGGTTTTACAAATCCAACTCTCAAGTAGTTTTAATATTCAGGTAACAAAATGGTTTAGTTCAGCTAAATAACCTCAGCTTTTTATTCTTCAGACCTGAAAGCTGTTATCTCTAATTGTCATAAAAATTGTACATGTCAGTGATATAGCAGTAACACTTACGGTATGATTTTGAAGCCAAATCTAAAAAAGTAATCCGTTTAAGCTCTTGTCTTCCTCATTCAAAGCATTTTTGCTTTGCTAATGAAAACCATTCCTTTGATTAAATTTTAGGTGTAATGAAGTCCAAATATCAGTGGAAGTATTTTTATTTTATGTAAATGAATTAGCTACTGTAACTTCATTAAAATGCATTAATAGCATTCAGTATTGATTTAAACATAGTAGCTAATAAAACTTGTATGACAGCTATAGAAATTTTCAAATAGCTAAAAGCATCAGGTATATGTGACCCCAGAAACTTTTAGTTGTGGGGGATATCTTTTTTTTTTTTTTTTTTTTTTTTGCTAAGTCTAGGATTATCTTACCAAGAAAGATGATACAGTTTTATAGTTGATTTTGTCCTAGTTGACCTTCACTTTCTAAGTAAGGGGTCAACATCCAGAATGTGGCTGGCCCTGCACTGTGGCAGAGGACTCTGGCTTACGCGCCCACAGTCTACGCTGCAGCAGCACAGCTGGAGAGGCAGGCAGTAAGCGAGAGACTGGAGGATGGACAGGGCAAAGAGCGAGAGAAGCAAAATATGATGGTAAGAAACATTTGTTTTATTGTGCATGTAAGTAAGAAATGGCATGGTAAACAAGTGAGTAGATGAACATACTTTAACTTAAGGGACAAGGTGAAAACCTCAATATTAGCCCATAACACAGTACACAGGAGAGTAACATGTTCTGTATAAACTGTCTGAAATGGTAAGTTTGAGTGCAAGGTTGTGCGTGTCTGCGGCTACGAAAGTTGAATATTATGTATAGATTACACCGTGTCCTATTTGAGACAAACCAACACCAAAACATCCCAGATAACTAGAACTGACCATTTTTAAAAATACAGAGTAATATATCTTACAAAAGTAGTATTAAATCAGAAATAGTCAAGTAAGTAATATCTCAGTGGAATAAAAACACAGTTCATCTTTTCAGTCAGAAAAATAAAATTTTCTTGATTTTAAAAATTCTGTTTCCCAAATACTATCACTACGCAAAGTGGATACCTTCTGCATTGAACCCATGTAGCAATCTGGAAAACAAACAGAAAATAAGATGTCACTGAAAAAAATTGTGGATGTTGTGAAAAAATGGTGTATGAATGGGTTTGTTCCGTTAATTTTTCTACACAAACACATCAGCATTACTTATGCACCTGCTTACTCCTAACAAGTCATTAAAGAAATCTGACTTTGAAACAATGTGTAAGGTATACCCTGGCTGAAACCATGTCATGCTGGTCCTTTTTGTTAACACCTACAAATCTTACTATTAAATTTGGTTGAAATTAAGACTCTAGCCGTCCCAGGCCTAAAGCTCACTGGCACTTGTTCCATTTTATCACTGAGGAAGCAGCTCTGGAATTTGAGGCAGAAGGCAGATAAAAGAATGCGCATCAGGTGCTATTTCTTCTCTTGTGTTCTTAGTGAGGTTCAAATTACCTATTTACACATTGTTTCTCTGTGGATACCTTTGTACCTACCAGACTTTAGGCAGTAAACTACCTTCAGGAAATTTAGGAAGAATGAAAGAAAGTAAAGTTAAAAAAACGGCATTGGGGCCTGGGAGATGGCTCAGTAGAATAAGCGCTTGCCTGGCAAGCACAGGGGCCTGAGTTCAATCCCCGGTTCCACCAAAAAAAAAAAAAAAAAAAATTGCTTTGACTTGAGATTATTTTCAGGCTAGCTCATAGGGTCAAGTCCAATGAATTAAAATATCTGAAAAAGGCAAAGTTAGATATTTAACAGTGTTCAACCCCTAGGATAACACCTAATACAGACTCAGTAGTTGCACTAGAGCCTGTGAAATACACGCTCAATGCAATATACGCTCCATTTGTCTTGGCTATATGGAACTGTTTGCAGCTTGGGAAAGACAAACTGCCCTTTCTTTCTTCAGCCTTTAGAATATGGATGCCTGAAGAGTAAATAGCCAAGAGCTTTGGAAAGATAGTGTTAATGAGAAAAATAAAGAGTACAGGTTAACTTAGCTGATTAACTGAAGCCTTACTCTCAGACTTGCTTAGTTGAAGGAAAAAAACATTGGCTTAAATTGTCCAGGTAATTCTGACATCCTTTTCCTTTGTCTGTGCAGTCTACCTTAGGTTAAAAAAACTATTACTAAGTGAATAAGCAGGTATGATCATAGTAAATAAGCAGGTATGATCATAACAGTTCATGCATAAAAACCTTTTAGCAACAGCTAGTTGGAATAAGTGAACGGGCCTGAGCCAGTTACACATACTAGGATTTTCCTTCCATACTGGTTACTCTGAAGAGACGAACTATGAAGACCAAGACCATGAATGGGGCGGGGGGAACATGAACGCCAAAATGTACATTCACACTGGCAACCTTCTGGCTCAGACTGTTCTTTACTACTCTTAAAGAAAATGTTCATCTGCTGCAGCTAACTAGTCGCCTCCACCTTCTACACCAAATACTGCTCCATGCTATGGAAGCGCTATGCAATAATTCTCCCAGGTAGCACCTTACAACACTTAAAAGCCTTTAATCTCTAATCTGAAGGTATCTCAGTTAAGAAATGTAAACACTAAGGAAAACAGAACTGTAATTACCTGATAAAGTCATCTATGTCCATGGAACGGGCCCGTTTGTCACTAAAACCTGTGCTGGTTAGGATTTGCTGTATTTTATCTGCTATGCTGAAATCTTCTGGTATTATCTATCAATACAAGATTCAGAATAAATGAACAAAATATCTTTAATGAAATTACTTTGGCTCTTTTTTTTTTTTTTTTTTGGTCCAGTAAGTCTAAATTACAGCCATCTTTAATATACCTGTTAACCTGTTAACAACAGCTTTAAAAACTTGATTTGGGTAAGGCAAGGCCTGGATGTCTAATAAGCTAAGTGGCTGATCTTTAACAAATATCCAACACCTTAAACAAAAACTCATATATATTTATATATATGGAGTGCCCTTCCTTCTGATTTGGCAGTACTGGGGACTTAATCCAGGGCATTCTTACAGAACTGTATCTCTAGCCCTTTTATTTGGAGACAGGTCGCACGAAGTCATCCAGGCTTGATTCAAACGAGAGCCTCATGCAGCTCTGGCTCCCAGGGCTGGGATTATGGGTGTACTGCACTACCTTTCTTAATCTTTAAAATTCCAAAAAGTAATTTTGGACTGTTAGAAAATAAAATTATAAACTAAATTTTAAAACAGTTGTTACTTCTTTAGAAATAGCATTTTCTTGCTAAATTTCACCTAATTTTTCTGAGATGATCTCTGATCCTTCCCATCTTCTAGCTAAAGATTTTTCTTGATCCAACATAATTTCTTTAGGCCAATTCGTGACTTCCCCATGTAAAATAGGCCTTACTGTAGTACATTAAACCATGTAACATAGAGAAAACCACAAAAGCCACATATAACACAAAGCTCTATCTTTGGTTAATTACACTAAAAGCTACAAGGCAAATGTCTCTTGTAGGTGAATGTAGTACAAGAGCGCACACTTGCTCAAAGGAAGTCATACAGGTGATCAAAGGCATGAAGCTGACGACCAGGAGTATGCTAGTCGGTCAGACTTCAGTTCCTAAGTGTTCAAAAATATTAACAGTGACTTCACACTTGAGACTGCAACAGACCGAGGATGATCATGGTTCAGAAGATAAATTATATGTAACTTAAACTGAACAAGCCGCACATTTTGTAACTGATGAAATTGCAACTCAGCTGGATGCCATCCTTGTTACATTAAAAAGAAATGTCAGTAGAGAAAAGAGGACAGTATGAAGGAGTGCAGGTTGTTCCAGTTCACTCCAGAGACCACAGCTGCTTCACCCTCGGAACCAGGTCAAGCTGGTGCTCGTCACACGCTGTCTCCTAAGGAGCCGACGGCACATGCAAAAGTCTCAATGACAAACATAGATGGCCATTTTAAAACAAATCACTGAGAACAGCAGTTTCTACTTACAATATTATGGATGGAACAGTGAATTCTGTAGTTCTTTTCCAGTAGCTGTTGTACTGCATTTGACCTATGGCATAAATGAAACCACTGTTATTCCAAAATCAGCTGTTGGCATACTTCCTTTCAGTTTAAACAACACAATCTGAAATTAAGGAATTTTACAAGATGTTCAGTATTTAAGCTTATGAAGCAAACACTAAATAAAAGAGTCCTGACAAGCATCTCTTAAAAAAAAAAAAAAATACACATTGTATTCGTTTTTTGTTTTAAGAAAGTCTCAGGCCAGGCTTGGTGGCACACACCTTAATACCAGCATTCAGGAGGCTGAGGATGCTGTGAATTGGAGGCCGCCCGGGCTACACAGTTCGAGCAAGGCTGAAACACACAAGACCCTGTCTCAAAAAAACAAAATGAAAGTCCTGCTATGCTGCCCAGGCTGATGGCCTGTGCTAAAGGAATACTCCTGCCTCAGCTTCCATGTAGCTAGCTTGGAGTCTTGGCATGGGCCAGCACCCTAGCTTAAATTCTTCACAGATGTTCTCCTAACAATGATCGCAAACCTACAGCATGCGTGCTGCAGCAGGTCTACAGAGTGCTCTTTCAGCATGCAAGCCAAATCGTCCCAACAGCCAGGCAGCAAATAGCAGGGTTTTTCTAACTGCAGTGTTGGCCCTTTGTGATAAATAAGTGGGTTGGGGGTTGCAATTTGCACACTCAGTCTCTAAACGATTCCCTATCACTGACCTAGGCCCTCCACAAACCCCGTAAAAGCATGTCTCAGCTGGGTGCGGTGGCATTTGCCTGTAATCCCAGGTCCTCCAGAGGCTACTACCACATTCAAACAGCCTTGCAATTGAGGGTCTCAAAAAGAAAACGGGGGCAGAGGTGGCTCTGTGGTAAAGTGCACTGGTACTTCGTGAACAAGAAATTAGTGAAACACTTACTTAAATGCTGCAGACAGTGTCTTGTTTTTCCTAACAAAAGTAATCCTTACTAGGCCATCCCATTCCTGAAATAGAAAATTCATTATTTTCTTCTAAGTTTTAAACTTTTTTTTTTTTACTGGGAATTGAACTCATGACTTCCCGCTTGCCAGGCAGGTGCTATGCTACTGAGCTACATCCCCAGCCCTAAATACTCAACCTCTTCTTTGTGTCTGCAAAGTACCGTCTTCTAATAAATAAAACTTTTAGAGTAATAAAACTGTATATCTTGATCTGGCTGGCATGCATGCAAAAAGTAAGATGCATTCTTCTACATTTTTGTGTGCCTCGCTGAATATATTTTTATCATTTTTCTTTCTTTTTTTTTTTTTTCTTTTTTCTTTTTTTTGCTCCAAATGCCTTCAGGGCAGGTTTGGCTGGCTTGAGTTCTGGGGATCGAACCCCAGCAACCTGAGCCTGACTGCTTTGTTGAAGCAGCCACTTAAAGAGCTGAGCTAAGGGGCAGGCCCTCTATCATTTTTCTTAACTGGAAAAATGTATAGTTATCCCATGTGTAAACAAAGAACATGGCACGGCATTTAATTATGCCTAAGTATCATTTTCATAAATAAGATTCAGGAGGACCCAGGATACAGCTCAGTAGCCTAAGTGCCTGTCTGGCAAGTACACGGTCCTGAGTTTAATTCCTGGTACCAAAAACAAATAAATAGATTAAAAATAAGATTCAAAACAGACATGTAAATAAGATGTGGCAGATTAAACCTGTAATCCCTGCACTTGGGAGGTTGAGGCAGGCAGGAAAACTAAGTTTATACCCAATTTGGACTACATAGCAAGTTAAAGCCCAGCTTAGAACACACAGTAAGACCCTACCTTAAAATAAAAAGAATAAATAGACACAAAGTCACACACAGTGGTGCATGCCTATAATCCCATCTACTCTGGACTCAGCTGAGGCAAGGCCTAGACAACTTAGTAAGACCACAGCTCAAACGGTAAGAAAAGAGCTTGTGATGTAGCTGTGGGGAAGCTCCAGTGGGTTCAGTCTTAGTGCTGACACTCCCCACGCCCCACAGACACACCTAAACCTTCCACCAGTTACTGTCAAATCACCCCATTTACCACCAGCTTATGACAATGATGTTTTTCCTCTTGATTATTCACATCTAGTGGTCTGGATTGTTTTATACCACCAAAATGATTTTTTTTAAATGTTAATAGTATTATTGGTGGTGCATACCTATTGTCTGAAAAAGTGCTAGAGATGTGGCTCAGTGGGGAAGGCCTGGGTATCCAAAAAAAAAAAAAAGTTAAGAGTATTTAAAACTTCATTTTACCTTTTATTGCATCTCTCAAGTTTTATTCACACAGACAAGTCTTCACATCTATCATCTTAAGCAAAATGCAGCTGCATTCTAATTGTTTTGCCATTTACATCTTTTCCATGTTTTCCGTGGTCTTCAAAACTATCTTACAAGGGCCGGCCAGATAGCTCAGCCACTGAGTAAAGCACCTGCTTAGGCAAGCGCAGGGACCGGCGTTCGATCCACTGTGTGCAGGCACTCTGAGATTGCAAATGAGACTGGGTGTGGTGCGCATGCCTATAATCCCAGTGCTTGGGAGGCTGAAAACAGGAGGATCACTGAAGTCCGATCTATGTAGTGAGACCCTGCAGACCCGATACTAAGTACATTTAAAAAAAAAAACAAACTATCTTACAAATTATTCCATCTATTCTATCACCAAGGTATCACACTTTACATTCTCCTATAGTTAGACATTTAGGTGGATTCAATAGTTTTCTGCTGCCACAGAGACACATCATCTTCCAGCCTGGATGCTTTCTTTACTGAATGACCTAGAATTTAAGGCTCACCTGAAAATTGATGGGCGGTGGTGGATTCTTAGGTTCTATTCTTACAACACTGGATTCGACTTTAGGTGGTGGTCTGAAGTTATTCTTTCCCACCTGTTAATCAGAAAATATTCAGTGCTCTCAAAGGCACGTTTTAGTCATCAAATGTACTCTCCTAACAGTAGGTCGAAGTAGGTGCTCAAGGATAAATTAAGCTAGAATATTTTAATGATAAAAAAATCACTTACTTTCATTAGATGGTCCACACGAGCTAAAAGCTGTGTATTAATTGAGAGTCTGCAGTATAATTTATCCCCAGGCTTGGCAACTAATCTGAGAGCAAATTCTCTTTGAAACATAAGTATAGCACATCTGAAAGAAGCCAGAAAGAACAACTGGGATGAGGGAAAGAAAAAAAGAGAGGGAAATACACACATACACACACACGCACACACACACACACAATAGCTACCATAATTATACTACTAATTTCTATTGGTTTACTGAAAGGAAGAGTTAATGCTTGTTTGATCAATGTTGCAAGCCTGTATCTCGTAATCTGAACAACTACTCTGAGGACAACAACATGCAATACAATGACAATTGTTAATTTTCTACCATCTTGTTTGGAAATTCTGTATCATTTTCAATTTATTTTTTAATTTTTACTCTCTTTAAAATTTAAAGAAAATATTTTTTTTTTTTTTCTGGAGAGGGAAAACAGCAAATTGGTATCTGTAGTTAATAGCAATTAGTTTAGTTGGTCAGAAGGTGCAACACTTTCAGGGCTGGTGAGATGGGTCAGTGGTCTAAAGCACCTACTTAGGACAAGCTTAGCAAAGCACAGGGACCACAGTTCAATCCCCCCGCACCACATGCCAGCCAGCCCCGCCCCCTGGTGGGCTGAGCTGGCCACACACACACACACACATAAATAAAATTTTTAAAAAAAGAAAGAAGGTACATTTTCTACCTTAGCATACTTACCAAAAAACAAGAGACAGAGCTGCTGAATTTGAGGCCAGCCTGAGCTAAACAAAATCCACTCGATAGCAGGATTACACTGTGCTACACTGCACTCTTAAAAGGTAAGGCTGGAGAACAAAGCTGTGGACTACAGAGCCCCATTAGGAGTTTAAAGAATGGGAACTCTTATCTTCAGTAAACGATGGGGAGGGTTTTGGAAGCTAACAAAAAGAATTACCTTTTTTTTTCTTTCTGGTACCGGATATCAAACTCAGGAACTTGTGCTTGCCAGGCAGGCATTTGCGTTGCTGAGCTATCTCCTTAGCCCAGAAACATCTTTCAAGTTGCACTCTTTTTTTTGAGACTGGGCCTCATTCTGCAGCCCAGGCTGGCCTTGAACTCCGTGGTGATCCTCGTGCCTCCCAAGGAGTTCATTGGCATTGCCACCATTTTTTAACAATGTGAGTCACATCAACAAATTTATTTGTGAAGACCAAGACAGGAGGATTCCAAGTTCAAGCCCAACCTGGGTGACTTAGTAACTTCAGTATGGACATATGTCAAAAAATTTTATGAAGGCTGGGATGTAGCTCAAAGGCTGTATGCACCTCCAATGGGAAAGAAATCTGCACGCCAAAGAGATCCATCTATGTATTTATATACTTCTAACAAGTTTCAAGAACTCATAATCACCTATACCACATGCAGTGCCTTCTGATATTTTCTACTATGTCACCTTACAAAAAAGGGTGGTCATGACTCTATTTTATAACCACTAAGTGGAATCTGACTTGCATTTTGAAAGCTAATGGTACTGCATTAGAGGCCAGTTATGGGAGCTACTGCAGTTACCTACACATGGTAATAAAAAGTCTGATTTAGACTAACAGCAGAGGGTTAGAAAACAGGAAAAGGCGTGCAGACACACACACACACACACACACACGCACGCACCCAACTTTTGCCAACCCAGGAAAGACCATTATACAAATCAGTATTTTCTACAAAACTTCCCAGGAGTTTTTCAACAGGCTTGATTTTTATTTTCAGCTGTATTCCTGATCTATACTGTCAATCTTTCTTAAAATTTGGCAGTAATTCTGGTCTTTTGTCACAAACCTGAAGAAAGGTCGGTGCAGCAGCAGCTTGAAGACAAAAGGAGATGATATCTGTAAAAGAATTCCTAATTACTTTCATGAAAGGCACTGAGAAACCAGAGAAGCATTTGGAATGTCTCTGACCATTCAAGGACATACCTGATAAGGCAAGTTTGCCACACAAGCGTCAAAAAATGGCAAATCTGTTTTCAGCACATCCCCCACCATCACCTGAAGTTTGTTGGCCAGGGGCCTGAAGATTAGAAAAGACATTTAAAAAGAATATTGTTTCATAAACTTGAAATGTACTTTAATTCTATCTGTTGTGTATACTCACGTGCCCTGTACTCTTTTGTGAAGTTCGGCTACCAGTCTTGGGTCAAGTTCGCAGGCAACTACCTGAAGAACAACAAAAATTTTTCTTAGGTAGTAGTGGTTAGGTGGCACCACCATCTCAGAGGCTTGAATATGAACTCTGTGGTTCAAGTAACTCCAACTTTTTTGTTCCTCCAGGACTTGAGGTGGTGAACTGCTGTTGACAATTTTTTTTTTTTTTTTTTTTTGTGGAACCGGGGATTGAACTCAGATCCTTGTGTTTGCCAGTCAAGCGCTTATCCTACTGCGCCATCTCCCCGGCCCCTGACAAATATTTTTGAGTTATCTCAGTGTTCCCATTTTGTTCTTTTGGTTCTCTAATGAGCACATAAACAATCTCCTAGGGTAAATTCCTTATTGATACAACAAATGTGGTTTCTGCTATCCTAATATGTATTTTCTAAGTTAAAATTTCTAGTAAGAGACTGAAAATCACTATAAAAATAATAGCAATTAAAAGTGGGTTGTGGGCTTGGGAGATAGCTCAGCAGCATACATACCTATTTGGCAAGCACAAAGTCCTGAGTTCAGCAGTCTGCCCATTAGCTCAGTTGCTTAACTGCCTGATTAAACAAAGCCGTCAGGCTCAGGATGCTGTGGTTTGATCCCCAGATCCTCAAACCTTAACAGACCTGTCCTTCAGGCATCCTGAGCCAGCCAAGAAAAAAAAAATCCTTCTGAAAGTCCTGAGTTCAAGCTCCACTATGGGAGTTAAGAGAGAAACAGGGTTGTATTTGCAATACAGCTGAGTTACCTTTTTTGCCTTTTCTAGTAACTTTACAGTCATGTTACCAGTTCCAGGTCCAACTTCCAGCACCACATCGGTGGGTCTTAAGGCAGCCTAAAAGCAAGCATAACTGTTCAGTTCTCCTGGCACCACCCACACGCTTACATCTGAATGTCTCTGTTCAGTGTTGAGGTTCTACTCTTTACAATTTTAGATTTTTTCAGGATCCATGTGGTTTACAAAACTACCTCAATATTATGTGCTAGTGAAAACCTAAGTTCTCTCCTCAGCTGGGAGAATACCTGACTTTAGGTGTCCAAAAACCAGGAACAGCAGATCTGTGCCTGGTTCACTTTTGCTTTCTACCGTGCAAATGATTTCAGCAGCCTTGTTACCAACTTTTCATTTTTCCCACAACCAACAAGTTCAAATCAGAGAGGAATGAATATGATAGCATGCTGACCTAAGATTCCCCAGCTCTTATTCCATGTATGACTTCGGGTACCCAGAATACAGAGAGCGGCAATATTCTGTAACATCCAATTCATGTGTAAAGCAAGAACCTTTTAACCTTTCTGCAGCTCCATGATGTTTCCCTTGTAACCTTGCAAATAAAAGTAATCTGCACCATCTCTATTTCATTTCCTACCAATCATCTATAAAAATAAGAGAATGATCAACTATATAGGAAGACTATTGCAAATAATTCACGTGGCACTGAAATACACAGAACAATTTATATGCAATACCATGTTGTTCTGGGAAAGACTTTTTTAATGTGTAGTTTTGAGTGCAATAAATAGAAATAGTGACATGGTGCTTAGGAAGTGATTAGAACTGAACAAGTACAAAAGACTAATTAGAAAGTAGGCAATCCACAGACGCTGAGTTTGGGATTAGAAGAAATACAGACCTACAGAATGAAGCACCCTAGATAATTCTTTAATTCAACAAGTATTTAAAGGACATCTATTTTACGCAGGGCACCCTGCCTGCGCTTAACTATTTTCCAAAGTAAAAATAACCAGACAGCTTTCCTCTCCACACCCACCTTATCGATAATACTGTTAACAATGAGAGGATTTTTCAAAATGTGCTGCCCAATCCCCGTGTTGAAAGTGAGTCCTGGAAGAAGACATGAAACAGCCTTAATTTTCCAAACAAGCTGAGCGATCACGCCGCCCCGAGAAACACGCAGGATGGGTACGGGGAAGCAGGCATTCCCAGCCGGGCCGCGGAGCCCAGGCCGCCCCGGCCGCCGCTCCCGCGGCTCCCGTCCCGCGCCGCGCCGGGCCCAGCTTCCTCCCGCGGCAGCGCGCACCTCCTGCGCTCTTGAGCTCCCGGCTCTGGTCCTGCCTCTTCCGACGACGGACGCTCGCCCCCGACTTGACCTTCGGCATCTCAACAGGAAACCCACCCAGAGTCAGCAGAGTCGGGGGTCGCCACAGTCGGCTTGCCCAAACCTCCAGACCCGGTGCTCTCCACCTTGTACTTCACCGCGTGGAGGAGGGGTGGGCCCCCTTCCCCGCCTCCGCCCGCCCTAGCTCCTCCCCCAGATGGGCGGGGCTTGTAGCCCAGTAGCCACTGGGAATTGTAGTCGACGCCTGAAGGAACGCCGGACGGAAGAACTCACTCTTCCCAGAAGACCCCGCGCCACCAAGTCTGGCAGCGTTTGGATTGGCTGGTGTACAGCGGAGGCGGAGCCTCCCGTCTCTATCTGCATATAGAGATTTAAGGCGTGTAGTGGGGCTCGCTGTCTGCCTAGGTTTGGCACGTGGACGTTTTAGTGTGTTATGTTTGAGAACGCAGACAACCTGAAAGAGGGTTCTTTGACGTGTTTCCCAGTTTCCCTTCATATTGTGGGGTGGGAAGCCCAGAATTTGGAAATAAAGTTCGTGTTCTTTTGGGGGAATTTGTTCTGCTGCCCCCCTTGTGGAAGATTCAGTTGGAATCGTCGTCTCTAGTTCCACTGGGGCTTCTGGATGCTCCCAGTCCCCTGCGCCTCGTCAGTCATTCCCTTAAACATTTATTGAGCTCTAGCCATGGAGCTGACCCAAATGCAGGATGGTTTAGCATACACAAATCAACAATTATGTCACACAAACAGATGCAAGGACAAAAATCACACGCTCATCTCAGTTGATATAGAAACGCCATCGACAATATCCAGTATCCTTTAGTGAAGAAAACAGATACAGAAGAACTTTATCCCAATACGATAAAAGCCATTTGTGACAAACCTGCCAATATCATATGAAGTGGGGAGAAACAGGGCACTTGCCCTCTAAAGTGAGGGAAAAACAAGGATGCCCGCTATTAACAGTTCCGTTTAACATAGTACTCATCGCACTAGCAAGAGCGTGTAGGCAGGAAGAAGAGGTAAAAGGCATATGTATAAGAAGGGAATGAGTCAAAATATTACTGTTTTTCAGATGACCTGATCCTCTGAATAGAAGACCCAAAGTTCCACAAAAGACTCTTAGAGGTAATAACCACATTCAGCAATGTAGCAGGATACAAAATCAACACAAAAAGCAATAGTTTCTATGCACCAATAATGAACCCACTGAGAATAAAATTAAGGGAAAAAACCATTATTCACAATAACATCAATAAAAAATAAATTCTGTGCTTTGGAATTGAGCTAAGGAAGTGAGCAACCTTTGCAATGAAAAATAGTTCTCTGAAAAAAAGAAATCCAAGAAGACATCAGAAAATGAAAAAAATATCTCCTATTCCTGGATATGTACAACCAATACAGTCAAAATGACCATACTTCCAAAATTTGTATAGAAGTTTAAGACAATCCCAATCACAATACCAACAACATTCCTCAGAGAGCTAGAATTTGCTAATGTTTCAAGTACTCAAATTCATATGGAAGCAGAAGTGACCCAGACTACCAAAACCAATACCCAGCAAAGTGAGGACACCCCAATCCCAGACTTAGGGTTGTATTACAAAGCTGAAGTGATATAAACAGCATGATATTCACACAGAAACAGACATGAGGCTCAGTGGAACAAAATACTGAATGCCGAAACAATCCAACCATATCCAACTATATAATTTTCAAAGGGACCAAAAACATACACCTGAGGAACATATCCCCTTTAACAAATGATGCTGGGAAAACTATTCCCATCCAGAAGATTAAGTCTAGACCCATATCTCTCATTATGTGCTAACCTAAAATCAAAATGGGTCAAAGATTTAAAGGCTAAAACATAAACACTTAACCTGCTGGAGGTAAAACTCTTGAAGTCTTAGACACAGGCAAGGCCTTTCTGAGCAAGAACCTTAGTTGCATAGGAAACAGTACCAAGAATCAACAAATGGAATCATATGATATTTAAAAAGCTTCTTCTATACAGTGAAGGAAACAGCCAACTATTCCTCATACAGAGGACTTATATCTAGAATGTATAAAGAACTCAAAAAATTAGATCTTTCCAACTAAAGGACCAATGAACAAATGGGCAAATGAAATCAATAAACACTTCACAGAAGTACAAAGACCAATAAATGCATGAAGAAATATTCAACACTGTTGGCTACTAGAGAAATGCAAATTAATACAGTACGGAGCTGGAGGAGCTGGGGAGATAGTTCAGTAGCATAGTGCCTGCCTAGCAAATACAAGGTCTTGAGTTTGATTCCCAGTACTAAAAGAAAAACAGAAACACTGAGCTGGGTTTGATGGTGCATGCCTGTAATCCCAGCTCTTGGGAAACTGAAAGGAGGACTTCTGTGAGTGTGAGGCTACTGGTTTAGGTTCATAGTGAGTCGAAGATCAGCCTAAGCTACATAGCAAAAATGTGTCTCAAATAAAGAAACAAGCAAACAAGTAACAAAAAGGAAGCCAACAACACTGAGATTGCATTTTAGCCCAGAAAGAATTGTGTCATCGAGAAATTTAATAATCACAAAAGCTAGTGAGGCTGTGGGAGAAATGGAAATCTTCTACATCGTTGGCAGGGATGTGAAATTGGTATGGCCACGATAGAAATCAGTGTGGAGATCCCTCAAAAAACTAAAAGTAGAAATTCCACTTAACCCAGGTATTCCCCTTCCAGGTATCTTCCCCCAAAGACATTCTATTACAATTTACATGCACAGCATTGTTAATAGCAGCTTAATTCATAATAACTAAATTTTGGAATCAGCCTATATGTCCATCAAAGATGAATTGATAAAGAAAATGTAATATTTAGTACTCAATGGAATACTACACTGCCATAAAAAAGAAAAACTTAGGTCATTTGTAGGAAAATGGATGCACTTTGAGACTCTCATGTCAAGTCAAATAAATGGGACACATAAGTTTAAATATCAAATGTTTTCTCTTATATGACAAACCCAAATTATAAATGAAGAGTAAAATAAGATAAAAAATAGACACTAGGAAGTAGGGAGTTGGATCTTTCTCAGATAGGAAGTGGATCAAGAGATGGAGAAGGAGGGAGGGAAAAGAGATGAATAAAAGATTTAAGATGTGTTATGTACATGCACCAACCCCTTGCAAGGGACGTAAAGATGGACTGAAAAAACAATGACAGCCAAGAAAAAATTAAATCATATTTTAATTGATCCTGATAGTCTTTGTTGTTAACAAGACTTAATAAAAAGTGAAAGCACATTTTAATAGCATTTAAGTACACCTCTTCTACTTTAATAGAAAAGGTGCACTTAAATTCTAAGCATGCTTGAAATGTTTACCTTTAAAGTGTCAGTGCATACAATAAAGAAAAAATGTTAAGCATTTTCTTATACATACTATAGTTCTTTGCAGAATTTTGTTGTACTCAGAAGTCATAGAGACATTAAGAACACTAGAATTCACACATTTTATGTAGGTTTCACACTGACCAGTGGTCCTATAAAAGAAGAATACAATTCAACTGGGCAAACTAAATTAAAATCTAATATCAAGTTTTTGGCTTTGCGACAATCTCCAAATCTAAGCACTAGTGGAGTGCTGCCTTAAATAGCAGGGTAATTTCTAAACATGTTCTAATTTTTATATAATCATAAATACTACATTAAGTTTAATTAAGAAAGAAGATAATGGCTTGTGCTTCATACCAGCACGAGTGTGTTAGTCTCTTTCACAATACTACAACAAAGTACCTGAAGCTGGGTAATTTAATAAAGAAAGGGAGCTGCAGGTCGGGGGCCTCCTATGGTGACGGTTTCCTTGCTGTCAGCATCCTGAAACAGCACAGAGCATCGCATGGCAAAAGCTGGGGGCATATGTGTCTACACCTCCACTCTCCCTCCTCCTAAAGGAAACCACTGATGGTAAGTTAACTTGCAGGATGGGAAAAGCATTTGTGATAGCTACTCGGATAGGGCAGCAATATCTAGAATGTATAAAGAACCCCAAAACATCACATTCCCATCCAAATTTAAAGACTCAGTACAAAAATGTGCATCTGACCTAGCTGAGGTAGCGCATGCCTGTAATCCCAGCACTTAGGAAGCTGAGGCTAGAAGGTTCCTGGGAGTTTGAGGCCAGCCTGGGCTACATTCTGATTTCAAGGCCAGTCTGAACTCCACAGGAAGACCCTCTTAGGAAAACCCCCTAAAACCAAAAATGTGTATCTGAAGCCAATAGACACTTCTTAGATGAAGAAGTACAAACAAATAAATGCATGGAAAAAATGCTCAATATCACTAGCCATTTGAGAAAATAATGTTCAATGTCACTAGCTCAACAAAACTAGTTAAAAACAACACTGAGGAGCTTGGGTGATAACTCAAACCATAAGCACCTACATGGCAAATGAAAGGTCCTGAGTTTGATCCCTCGTTCCAAAAAGAATAAGGAAGAAGAAAAAAAAAAGGAGGAGGAGGAGGAGGAGGAGAGGAGGAGGAAGAAAAGAATGAGGGGGAAAAATCCATCAATAACAAATGCTGGTGAGGCCGTGGGATGAAAAGAACCCTTCTTTGGTGATACTGTAAACTGATACAACCTCTGTGGAAATCAGTATGGAGACACCTCAAGAAAACGAAAAGTAGACATTCCATTTGATCCAGCTGTTCCCCCTTTAGATATCTTCCCCAAAGGGTTAAACACCTCACCGCACAGTAATGCATGCCCATGTTTATAGCAGCACAGACCATAAAAGGTAAATCTTAGAAACAACTTATATGTCCCTCAACAGATGAATGGATAAAAAATATGGTATTTATACACAATGCATTCCTACTCTGCCATTAAAAGGGTAAACTCATTTATAGGAAATCAGATGCACCTTGAGACCTTAATGCTAAGTGAAGTAACTCAAGACATGAGCTGAACTAGCCCATGGTTTCTCTTTTATGAAAGTCTCAATATATATGTAAATATATATTTTATATATCAAAATAAAAGACAGATAATAGAAAAAAAGAGAAAGAAAAAATACTGTAATCCAGTGCAGACAATGTCGCTAACAGTGTACCTCAATTTAGTGCAATTGTCTTACAGATTTTATATGGTTTTTGGCCTAGTAGTCCTGTTTTCAATCTGTA